AATAATAACTTAGAATTCTGTGAGGCAAGCAGAGTTATATGCTTCCTAACTACTAAAGAGAAGGAAATGAATGCTTATGAAGACCATGTAATGTACTTAGGCGCTTTATATATATTATTATCTCAATTTAAAAACCATCTCTGATGTGGAATGTGGGAACATTTTCAGCAATAAATCTGAAGCTCTGTGACATTAACTCAGGGAGTTAACATATAATAGTCTAAAAGGAATTTTAGGAACTTGACTCACGACAGTTTACAATAAGGGCTATTGATTTGGCTGTTTGGAGGAAGTGCATTAGATACACATTTGGCCAAAAGCCAAAGGTTAAAATCAATACTTGACTGAAATGATATATTAATGGAATAGAAAGAAGTTTTTGGAGACAAGATTAAATATGAAACCTTATCAAACATTGTAAAGTCAGATTTTGAAAGTTTGACACTTTGGTGAAGGGAACAATTTATCAGCACCCTCAGCTGGTGGACTGCTCCTGTGGTCCCCGTGTTGCAGGTCTGCAATCCTAGTGGATGCTCGCTTTAGTCAGGCTAATGTTTAATGCACTGTATATGGAACTTGGGATTCACCAGTCATCAAATCCAAAAAATCCTGGGTCTGCCTCTAGTGGAAATGTTTACTAGTCTACAGCAATTATTTTGACAATCTTTTGGGGTTTTTTGGTCTCCATAGGCTAGAACTATAAGGAATTGACTTCTTCAATTTGAATTTTGAATAGTGAGAACAAAATGTGCATTGAGATCCTCTTGTTTCTCTAATGTTTTCTTTATTTCCTACTTGTTATTTATTCATTCAAACAACATTTATTAAATTTCTGTTCAGTGTATCAGCCACCATTTCAGGAGTTGGGGATCCAGTGGTGAGCAGAAGACAAAAGTCCCTCTCCTCGTGGAGTTTATATTCTGGGACTTGGGGAGACAGATAATAAGCAAAACTATAAATTAAACATAAAACATATAAACAGTGTTCAGTGCTGTAGAGAAGAACAAAGCAGGTAAGAGGGCTATGAGGAGTCTCTGTTAAGACTGGGACATGATGGTTTCTCATGATTTTTTTAAGAGCTTTTGTTTCCTCATGAATTCTTTAGGGGCAAATGTGACATTTAGCTATTAATTCCTCATAACAAGATATGAAGAGTTCCCAACTAGGACATTTCCCTCACTGAACATCTCATTGTCTTAATGGAATTAAATAACTGAAAATTAAATATAGTTTTTAAAGGTTATTTTCTTTAATATGTTGAAAGCTAGTACATCAAATAATTCTATAACTATTATTCTGCCTTGTATTATTTTTTAAAATGTTATAAACATAATTGGCAGAAAAATACAGTATCTTTCCTAAGGTTATCTATCTTCCATTCTCTCTCTCCCTCTCTCCTGAACTGAATTTACTTTATTTAGCGAATACTTATAATGTACCACTTATGTATAATAGGACATAGAGCCAAGTATAGTTCTAAGAACTTTACTCTTAGTCGCTTCACAATCCTATGAAGTAAGTTAACCATCTCAAGGAGGAGGGCTTGAGAGAGGTTAAGGAGCCTGCTCCAGTGTACATACTAATAAATGAAACAGCCGGGTTTCAAACCCAGGCAGTGTGGCTCCAGGGTCCATGCTCTTAATCGGGATGCTACATTACCCAATATTTTTCCTTGGCTAGGCACATGGGTCAGAATCTACTACTAGTTGACTCTCACTTAGCAAGGTTCATCAACTTGGCCTTCCTTTCAACAGATGTTTACAGCTTTGGGTAGTATTGCCTTTTTAACAATATTAATTTTTCTGATCTGTGAACCTGGGATACTTTCCCATTTATTTGTGTCTTCTTTGATATTTTTTCATTAGTGTCTTGTACCTTTTAGAGTAAAGATCTTTTACCTCCTTAGTTAAATTTATTTCTAAGTATTTAATTGTTTTTGATGCTATTGTAAATGTGATCCATTTTTCTCCCTGGAAAATTTGTTGTTAATGTAGAGAAACACTACTGATTTTTGTACATTAATTTTGTAATCCGCAGCTTTACTGAATTCACTGATTAGACCTAATGGTTTTTTGGTTGAGTCTTTAGGATGTTATTGATGTAAAAATCATGCCATCCGCAAATAGAGACAATTTTACTTCTTTCTTTCTAATTCTGATACATTTTATTTCTTTTTCTTCCCTGATTGCTTTGGCTAAGACTTCTAGGACTATGTTGAGGAAGAGTGATAAGAATGGGAGCTCTTGTTCCTGATTTTAGAGGAAGGGCTTTCAACCTTTCACCATTGAGTATTATGTTAGCTGTGGACTTGTCATACGTGGCCTTTATTGTGTTGAGATATGTTCCTTTTATGCCTGATTTTTAAAGAGTTTTTATCTTGAATGGATATTGAATGTTGTTGAATGCTTTTTCTGTGTCTGTGGAGATGATTGTATAGTCTTTTCTTTCATTCTAATCAATATGTATCACATTGATTGATTTGCATATGTTGAACCATCCCTGCATCCTAGGGAAAAATCCTACTTGATCATGGTGTCTGATCCTTTTAATGTACTGCTGAATTTGGTTTGATAGTATTTTATTGAGAATTTTTGCAACTGTATTCATTAAGGAGGTGGGCCTGTACTTTTCTTTTTTAATAGTAGTATCTTGTTTTGGCATCAGGATAATTCTGGCCTCATTTTATGAGCCTCATTTTGTGAGTTTGGGAGTGTTTCCTCCTCTTGGATTTTTTGGGAAGAGTTTGAGAAGGATTGGTATTTATTCATATTTAAATATTTGGTAAATTCAACAGTGAAGCCATCTGTTCCTGGGTTTTTCTTTGGGAGGTTTTTTGTTACTTATTTAATCTCCTTAGTAGTAATTGATCTATTTTGATTTTCTGTTTCTTATTGATTCAGTCTTAGTAAATTGTATGTTTCTAAGAAATTTTCTATTTCTTCTAGATTGTCCAGTTTGTTGGCATATAGTTGTTCATAGTAGCCTTTTGTGATCCTCTGAATTTCTGTGATATCAGTTGTAATGTTTCATTTTTCATTTATACTTTGTTGTGGGTTTTTTCACCCCTTGGTTACTCTAGCTAAAGGTTTTTCAATTTTGTTTATCTTTTTAAATAACCACACCTTAGTTTGGTTGATATTTTCTGTAGTATTTCTATTCTCTATTATATTTATTTCTGCTCTAATTTTATTATTTCCTTTCTCCTGCCAACTTTGTTCTTCTTGTTCTAGTAGTTTATGGTGTAGAGTTAGGTTGTTTATTTGAGATCTTTCTTGTGTCTTTTTTTTTTTTTAATATATTTTATTGATTTTTTACAGAGAAGAAGGAAGAGGGACAGAGAGTTAGAAACATCGATGAGAGAGATCGATCAGCTGCCTCCTGCACACCCCCTACTGGGGATGTGCCTGCAACCAAGGTACATGCCCTTGACCGGAATCGAACCTGGGACCCTTGAGTCCGAAGGCCGATGCTCTATCCACTGAGCCAAACCGGTTCGGCCTTTCTTGTGTCTTAATGTCGGCATTTATTGCTATGAACTTGCCTTTTAGGACTGCTTTTGCTTCATCCCACAAGTTCCGGTATGTTGTGTTTCCATTTTGGTTTGTATCAATAAACTTTTATTTCCCCTTTAATTTCTTCTTTGATCCATTGATTGTACAAGAGAGTGTTGTTTAATTTCCATGAGTTTATGAATTTTTCTAGTTTTCCTCTTATTATTGATTTCTAGTTTCATGCCATTGTTGTCAGAGAAGATACTTAGTATATTTCAGTCTTCTTGAATTTGCTAAGACTTGTTTTGTGGCCTAACACTGAATAAGTTTATTCATCTCTACAATGAGGTTGAGGTTATATAATAACAACAACATGTATTGAACCTTTACTCTGTTTTCCACATGTACATTCTCAGAAACAGTCTCTGACGCCCGTTCTGAAGCCCAGTAACATTCCCCAGTTAAGGAGTTAGTAAATGGCAGAGCCAGGATTTGAACCCAGCGCTCTACATTACTGTCTCCTTTCAACTCTAAGCTTCTGTACCATGGGTAGTAAAATGTCTGAGTGCGCATGTCTGTGTGGGGTTGCCATTCAGAAGTGGTTTATGTCAGCAGGTCCTTTTAGAGGTGTCCCTGGAGAATTAAACTCTTTTACTCAGGAAAGCTCAGTGAGTAAATGGAATGAGTTTCTGACAAAACTTTTGATTAGAGGAGGATATAAAGACTGGTCTATAGAACAGTATCAGGGCTTACATCAGAGGGACAGGTAGAGGAGCAGCCTGCACAAAGGGTGAGGTGACTCAGGAGACCCTGGTGTTCCAGACACTAAGGGAGTGAGGAGACCTTTGCAAAGGTCAGGGTGCTCAATTGTGTTGAACACTACTGAGAGTTCAGACAAAATTCGGGCTGACAAGCCCAGGAGATTTATCAGTTAGAAGGCAGGCTGCCTCCCTAGTATCTGAAATCACATCAGTCATCTCATTTTGTTTCTATTTAAAAAGGTTTCCCAGGAGTTGTTCTTTAATCTTGTCCACAAATGGGGAATGCACCCTCTTTTGGACCCCTGTGTGCATTCCCTGCTCCACGTGGCTCATGTAAAGTCCCTTGTCACTGAACTTATCTACCTGATTGTTAAACCATCATAGAGATGCATTTCTGCTGCAGCTGAATAGCTCTACAGTCTCCACAGTTAGCCACCTTCTGGAACTGGATGTTTAAATCAATCAATAACTCTGCAGTTACCATGATGCTTTTTGCCTTTGGACATATTTCACCTGCATCTGAGAGCTGATGTATTTTTCTTAAACTTATTTTTATTGTGAAAAGTTCCAGTCATGCATTCTGGTGGCTGGAAGAGTGAATTAATAGTAGTCTAATCACCCTGGAGACACAGATGCTTTTGTGAGTTGGCACTGAGGTAAGACTGCACATCTCTGTGGGGATGACAAGTGAATGAGTCTGCTGCTCACTTAACCTGGTGTTCTTTTCTCTCTCTATTTTTTCTCCTAGGAAACAGATGGAAGACTGCTGTGACCCCGCCCATCTCTTTGCTATGACTAAAACGAATTCCCCCATGGGGACGAGCATGTGGTATGATGGAGAGTTTTTATACTCATTCACCATTGACAATTCAACTTATTCTCTCTTCCCCCAGGTTAGTATAGAGTTTATTGCCTTTCAATATAGTCTTTTACATGTCTTGATTTTACAGGAAAGGTATAATTGAATTTGCCTAACGAATCAGGTATACTTTTCATCTTCTTTTCTTAACTTTAATTTTTATAGTTATTATTTTTGTGTGTGGGAAGGAATCACACGGTATTTTGATGCAAGAGCAGAAGTAGGATGCTATAGAGCAGTGGTTCTCGACCTTCCTAATGCCGTGACCCTTTAATACAGTTCCTCATGTTGTGGTGACCCCCAACCATAAAATTATTTTCGTTGCTACTTCATAACTGTAATTTTGCTACTGTTATGAATCGTAATGTAAATATCTGATATGCAGGATGTATTTTCATTGTTACAAATTGAACATAATTAAAGCATAGTGATTAATCACAAAAACAATATGTAATTATATATGTGTTTTCCGATGGTTTTAGGCGAGCCCTGTGAAAGGGTCGTTCGACCCCAAAGGGGTCGCGACCCACAGGTTGAGAACCGCTGCTATAGAGTAACAGTTCCCCTTTCTTATTTGAGTCATATGAGACTGAAGGAAGCAAACTGAAAATGAAAGTAAGGACATGGAATTGTGGAATTCCAGAGTTGTGAGGTTGGCTGTGATATGATCTCAAAGCACTGGCATGCTGGTTTCAGGTTGATGTTGCTCTCAGGGAGTAGGGCCCATAGGGTCAGAAGTTTGCTTCTTAGAGCTCTTAAACTTTCACCCTGTTGTTAGACTTACTGCTGTGAAGTGGAGGAGTGGTGGGTAATGGAGATAGAGAATCTGACCACTTTCGAAGTGGTCTAAAACAAGCTCTGCCTACTTAATGTTTTACTTCTTGGTTTCTTGAGCATTAAAATAAAATGTTTTACTAAATTATATCTATGTAGCAAGTGGGGGAAAGGAAATCTTTTTGGGGAGCCCTTGTTGGAGAGGGAGTGGATCTTAGGTGAAATTGCCATCAGGGAGAAATGAAGAAATGAATCTTGGCCTCCCCAAGTCTTCTAGCCACTCTTGGTTTAGCCAAGATAGTTAGGCAGAAGGAGAAGTCATGGTCAGAGTTGGAAAATGGGGCTGAACCTCTCATATATCTGAATTAACAGCAAAGTGTCTTCAAAGGGGGGATCCTGTGAACTTGAGGCACTGGCTCTGCTGGATCCAAAGCCACTCTCTGTGAAATAGCCCATATTTGCTATTTCGTCCTTAGGTGTTTCAGTTTAATTTAATGATTTTAGGGTGTAATGATGTTTTATTTTTCAGTAAGAAATAAAAGGTTTAATCATTGTTAGTATCTATGTGCTCTCTCCCCTCTTCATTTGCCCTTGGGAGGCTTTCTAGTGTCAAAGGAAAGGATTGAGAGTCATAATGACAGGTTGTACACCTGAAACTAATAGAATATTGTACATCAAATGTAATTTAAAAAGAAAAGAAAAGAGTTATAAAATGTGGGATTGAGTTTTGTCTCCATCTCTTACTAAGTAAATGTCTTGCTAAGTCACCTCTTCCGAGACTCAGCTTTCTCATCTGTACAATGGGGAGAGCAGCCCCTGTCCCACCACCTCTCAGTCTTGTGGTCAGGATTAATGTAGATAATTTATGTGCATGTACTTTGTAAACTGCAAAGCATTATGTAAATACTAGAGGCCCGGTGCACAAAATTCATGCATGAAGGGGGGTGGTCCCCTCAGCCCAGCCTGCACCCTCTCCGATCCGGGACATCCCTCTCACAATCCTGGACCACTGGCTCCTAATTGCTCACCTGCCTGCCTGCATGGTCGCCCCTAACTGCCCTCCCCTGCCAGCCTTATAGCCCCTCACTGCCTCTGCGTGCCTATCTGACCATCCCTAACTGCCCCCCCTGCCAGCCTAATTGCCCCCAACTTCCCCCCCGGCTGGCCTGGTCACCCCTAACTGCCCCCCCCCCACCAGGCTGGTTGCCTCTTACTGCCCCTCTGCCGGCCTGGTCACCCCCAACTGCCCCCCCTGCAGACCTGGTTGCCCCCTCACGGCCCCCCTGCCAGCCTGGTCGCCCCATGCAGCCTGCTTGTTCAGTTGTTTGGTCGTCCCTCGCTACCCCACTGCTGGCCTGGTCACAGGCAGCCATCTTGTGAGGGTGTGAGGATTAATTTGCATATATATTACCTCTTTATTATATAGGATTATTAGGTATTTTTTTAATATTTTATTGATTTTTTACAGAGAAGAAGGGAGAGGGATAGAGAGTTAGAAACATTGATGAGAGAGAAAAACCGATCAGCTGCCTCCTGCACACTCCCTACTGGTATGTGCCTGCAACCAAGGTACATGCCCTCGACCGGAATCGAACCTGGGACCCTTGAGTCCGCAGGCTGACGCTCTGTCCACTGAGCCAAACCGGCTAGGGCAGGATTGTTAGGTATTAATGATGTTCTGGTTCATATATTGCATCATCAGATGAGGGAATGGAGACTATATATTAGTCAAGGTTTAGGCAAAGAACAGAAATCTTCCTAGGCATTTTCACAGAAAGTTATTTCATATGGAGAATTAGGCACTTAAAAATCATTAGAAGAATAAATATGTGGGAGTCAAGAGTCAAGAGGTGGCTCCTGAAATTGCTTAGTTCAAGAACCTGCTGCCCTAACTGTGATTTAGGAATTAGAAAGCCCCAGCTGCTGTTGCCATTCCTGTGGCTCAAACTGCCTCCAACAGAAATGGGGCCAGATAGATGGGTTCCAACTCACTCCCTCCTTTCAAATCTCCCTCAAGTGCATCCAATAGGTAAGATTAATTTGCATCTGGAATAGTAGTTACTTAGCAGTCCAAGAGAGGTAGTTTTAAATGAAGCCTCAGCAGGGAGTTAGGAAAAGGGTGGAATAGAGGACGAGCAAGCCAATCCACAGTATCCTCTGTTCATAACCCCATATCAACTCACTATGAAATAAAGAGAGATAGGAAGCAATCACTTTAACAGCTCATCAAATAGGAAAAAAATTAAAGAAGTCCCAAATAGGCTTTGTATACATGAAGGCTTATGAACTGACTTTTAACTCTATGCTGGAAAACAGATTTGAAGAAAAGACGGTTAAAGAAATAAAAACTAGCTCCCATCTTATCTGTCAGTTGCAGCCGTAGGATAATAGGAAACATTTCCTTTTTAAAGGGCATGCACAGAATCCTGTGCCTCTTTTTGCCAGTAGAACCATCTCTTTTTTATTTAATTGAATTTTATTTTCCATCACCGTTTCTTAATGATAAAGAAAAAATGCTTTTTTCTTATGAAGCAGAAGTTATGACATCACTGTGTGTGCTCATGGTCAACACAAACAGCGAACCAGTTCAATGAATAGATTTTAAAAATAGTCGTGTGTATTTTTCCGCTGAGATTCTGAGAAGACTAATTTATAGAAATCCTGGAAAATCACTTTGCATCAACAGAAAAAATGGCATATCCTCTCACCACATTATTATTTCTTAATGAAATATTTCTAGTTTGTTATCAGGAAGCTAAGTAGCCAGTTCATTGATGTGCTTTCTTCATATTTCCCATGGGAAGGAAGTTGTGTGTTGGCCAATTAGGCAGAAAGGCAGGTGAGTGGGCTAGGCTCAGTGTTGTCAGTTGAACGAAGTGTCCCTTCTTTCTGTGAGTTTCAGCAAAATCGTACCATATCACTCATTCTCTAACTCAGATGTATAATTTTATATTATACCTTTAATTATATATTTTAATATATTTATTTTAATTATATGTTACACTTTCTCCCTAAATGCTCAGTATACATTAGCCATCATCATTATTGTTTTTGTTCCTTTGCCTACCTTTATCCACTGTTGTTATTATTGTTGCCAACATGCAGTACAAGATGCTCTGTGTGCTGTGGAAAGTTAGCAGGTGCTGAATCAGCGCTGGAGGGTCTAGGAGGGTCCTACTGAGATGATGTACACTGGGAGATGCTACACCGAATCTCCGGAATTGCAATTAGTAGCTCTTATTTGGATCTCTCATGACTTCCCATAACTTTGTTATTAAACTTACTCAATTCTGCCTCAAAAGAATTTATCTATGTTAACAACATATTACGGTTTTCTTTCTCTTTTTTCTTCTTTTTTTGTTATATTATGATTTTCTTAAAGTCATTCTCTGCTGATCTCCATACCTCTTGTGAGCTTTTGAGGAACAAGAACAATTTTTCACTTCTGTGCCTAGTGCAGTGCTTCCCACTGAAACAGATGTTCATTTTCAGCGGCTCATGTTTGCCAAGAGCTCCCTTTCATGTCCCACCTGGGCTGGACACCTGCAGTGCCCTTGCCTGAACTGCAGGAGGCCAAGCAGGACATACGGATGCAGCTGTTTCCAAGAGGGTCTATATTTTGATAAAATATTTGTCGAATATTATTAGACATGAAGGGCAGAATTTTAACCTCACATAGGTTTTCTAGAATATTCTGTGTGAGTGTGTTTGAAGAGGACAATGTGATGGCCTTTCTACTTTGAGACTCTCCTCATCCCCTGGGTTGGGGTCAGCTCCTTCCTTTTTTTTTTTTGCCAAGAATAGTCCCTGTTAAGCCTGCATGGTCTCATGTTTGTAGATATTACTGAATAAATAGTATTTTGGCCTAAAACATTTATACTAAAAAAAGAGCATAAATTTCCTTAGAAATTTCCTCAGGGAGGAGCAGGAATGTTAGAAACCACAAGGGTGCTGATATAATTTGAAAAATATTTCCTTTTGGTGTAATAAAAACATGGTTGGCTCATCATTCTCTTACATTTTGCTGAATAATCATGTGATATAAATCACAAACTAGTAATTTTTCCTCAGAATAGCCACCCAAGGCCATGTATAAAGAATCACAAAATATCATTAATGCATCCCAAATGGACACTCATTTCCAGCTCTTCTGGTCGCCATAGCTCCCTGACATATTCCACTCAGCCTGGACCCACCATGCTCTTGAACCTTAAAAAACCAAGCAGGAATGTTTCAAAGTGGTTTTTATCAAAGTGACTT